TCTGCACTCTCTCCAGTAGGTCCATGTCCTTCTTATGTTGGAGGCCCCAGAACTGGACACAGTACTCCAGGTACTCTATACCAGAGTGGAGTAGAGGGGGAGAATCCCCTCCCTTGACCTGCTGGACACGCTTCTCTTGACGCAGCCCAGGATACGGTTATTGGCTCTTCTGGGCTGCAATCGCACATTGTTGGCTCATGTTGAACTTTGCATCCAGCAGCACCCCCAAGTCCTTCTCCTCGTGGCTGCTCTTCATCCATTCTCCACCCAGCCTGTATTTGTGCTTGGGGTTGCCCTGACCCAGACACAGGACCTTGCACACTGCCTTGATCATGAGGTTTGCACAGGCCCACCTCTCAAGCCTGTCAAGGTCCCTCTGGATGGCATCCCTTCCCTCCAGGGTGTTGATCGAACCACACAGCTTGGTGTCATCATCAGACCTGCTGAGGGTGCACTCAATCCCACTGCCCATGTCTCCAACAAAGATGTTAAACAGCAGAGGTCGCGCAACTCATCACCAGTCCCCACTTGGACATCGAGCCGTTGACCGACACTCTTTGAGTGTGACCATCCAGCCAATTCTTTATCCACTGAGTGGTCCATCCATCTAGTCCATGTCCCTACACCTTAGAGACAAGGATGTCATGTGAAATGGTGTTTCATGCAGATTCACATGATGGTAAATGAGGTGGCTGAACAAGTCTAACAGTTACTACCTGATAGCCATTGCTTCTTTAACTAAAACCAGGATGTAAATCCATGCAGTTAGTAAGATGTCAGTCCCTGGGGAATGAGCACCAGCTGACTTGGACCTCTGCTTCTCAATCAGTGCTCAAAACATGCATTTGTCGTGTAATGATGACAGCGGACTTGCCTGCCCTTTTAGGAAATTAAACAAAATTTGTTAACCTTCAAGGATCAGTTAAAAACAGTCCAGTTGTAGTGAGTTGCAATTTGAGATTCTTTTCCTCCTTAACTAAATATGTCTCTTATGGGTCATTGTGTTCTAAAATACTGAAACTTAAACTTTTAGTAGGTATATCGGGTAGTGAGGGATAGGATAGGACAGTGGGGGGGGGGGGGAACAATTGAGATGAATACAAGATTTTTTAAATTATTTTTTTTTATTTCTTTTGAGGAAAGGAATGTGGTATATATAGCTTGTAAATTGTTCAACTGTCAGCGTATTAATTCATATTCGTACTGCTACAGGGGATGTTCTTCCGCACTTGTGAAGCCAAATTGCCATGGGAAAATGAATGCACTTTAACCACAGCTCAGTTTTGATTTGTTTAACTTCACATTTACATTGCCCTGTCCTTCATATTTAACTGAAGTTCCAGAATTTCTAAAATTCCTTTATTATGATACACAGTTCAAATGCCAGTTTATTCTAGCCTTTATTCTTTTCTCTTTTGACATATTTTTATCGCACCACTTTAAAGACCATGTGATGCCTTCCTGGATTCATTTAGCAGTCTTGTATTTATGCTACATACACTTTAATAGACCTAACTGCTTTCCATTTTTTTTAAATTTGTTGGAAATAGCAGCTCTGTTTTCTTCCAGTTGTTCAGCTGTGCTTCAGCTCTGTGGGATAACCTAAAAAATGAAAAGGTAGGATTGTGCAGGAAGGGAAAACAGCAAACACTGCTGTGCTCAGTTTATTAAGTGGACCAGCCGAGGTGTGGGCTGTCAGATACACTCCTGTTTGCATATGCACACAGAGTTACAATTAATAGAGACCTGTGCCAGTTACCCCTCAGATGGGTCAGCATTATGAAGCCTAGAGGAACTGCAACACTTGCTCCAGCGAGTCAGTGTCAGGCTCTGGGCAGTGGCTCAGTGCCAACAGGTAATGGTTCTACCTCAGATGCTCACCATCTATGTTGAGTGTCCACGTGCCATCGTTCTCCCGACCTCTCTTACTGGCAGGGGTATAGTCAGATTTTGTCACAGGCTGTCCATCAAATCTCTCAACAGTAATATAACCATACAATTTTCCAGCAATTTCAGGTTTTGTTCTTCTGTCACTTGTTGATCTGTGGCTTTTACTGGGGCTTGTTGCAGCCAGTTCTGTCCCCCCTGGCTCATTGGACTCGGTTCCTCAACCCCTGATTGAGGAAGGTTGTGATGCTTCTGCTGACAGATAGCTGACTGACTGCTCCTTGGCATTTCCTGTGTCCTGGCATTCCAGGAAGCCCTACATGGGCAACAAGGGAAGATATTTCACTGCAGAATGTTGAGATTTTAATGGTGTTGGTTGTTTTCTTCCCAACTGTTCTGTGTGATAGTGTTTGGCAGTTTGGTTCCACATGTAAATTTTTAGGATATAGACAAGAATGCATGCAGCTAACAGAAGTAGCCAACAGACAGCAGTTTGTGCTGCAGTTCATGCAGAATGGGCCAGCAGCTCTGCTCAGAACAGCATCCAGGTCCTCAAAAACAGTGGTGATGTGCCCCAGGGCACAGTCCCCAGCTACTGCTGGACTGGCTAGCCCTGTATCATGAGAGGCCTCAACCCAGAAGGAGCTCCAGAAGAAGGGTGCAGCTCCGCAGGTCCAGGGCTGCAGGGAATTCCTGTGGCCTCTTTCCAAGGCTGGGGCAGCAGGAGATGGCTTCCTTGCCCACAGGAGGTGTGCAGTTATTAAGGATCTGTATCACTAAGGCCAGGAGCTGCAGGAGGATGTCAGCAGGCTGCACAGCATCAGAGATAATGAGAAAGAGATTGACCAGAGATTTTCCAACACTCTGCAACTTCAAGAGCCCAAACTACCAACTGTACTGAAGGGAGGGGGGTCAGGCAGAATCTGTGCCTGTCTGGGAAGTGGCGACTCCTGTGATGATGCAGATTGGAAGATAATAGTTTCTGGCGCTAGGAAGAAGGTTTCTGTTCCACCTGAAGATTTACAGCTACAGAATAGGTTCATTGACCTCACAGCTGATGAGGAGCTGGGAGCTGTCAAATAAAGCATCTGAGTCTGAGCCACACAGGAGCACCAAAAGGGAGAGACAAGTGATAGTAATGGGAGACTCCCTTCTGCAGGGAACAGAGATATCCCCATCTGCCAACCCAACTCATTCTCTGTGGAATTTTGCTGCCTGCTGGGAGCTCAGATTTGGGACATTGTAGAAAGACTGTCAAAGCTTGTCCAGCCCTCTGGACTATTGCCCTCTGACCCTCTTCCATGTGAAACATCAGTGGTACTACCAAGAGTGACCTGGAAAGTTGCAAGCATTGACTACATGGCTCTGGAGAAATTGTCAAGGACATGGGAGCCTGGGTGGTTTTCTTCACAATCCTTCTGGTGAGAGGGTAGATGGATCCTGCAGATCAAGAACTGTTTATACAGCTCTTGATGACAACAGGGTTTTGGTTTCTACAACCATGGAACCCTTTCTCTGAGGATCAAGGATTGCTGCTTGACTAAGTGTGGCACAGGTATCTTTTCCAGCAGGCCAGATGACCTGATAAGAAGAGCTTTGGGGTAAGAATTATGGGAGAGGGAGAAGATGACCAACAATCAAGTGGGAAGTGGTGGACTGTGTTGGCAAGCAAAGGGTCTAATGTGATATGAACAAAAGGGACTCTGTAATCAACAAAACAAGGCTGAACTGAGGTCGCTCTGAGTGTACACACACAAATTAGGTTGCGCCTATGGGACATCATGGTGTGTGGAAAGCTCTCATTCCCTGAAGGGAAGTCACTATGACCACGTTCTTCTCTGAAGTACCTGTGTTGTACAAGGAGAGACTGAGAGAGCTTGAGATTGATTACCCTGGATTAAAGAATGCTTAGGGGGTATCTTGTATAAAAATGTAAATATTTGATGGGAAGGAGTAAAGAAGACAGAACCAGACTTTTCTCCATGGTATCTATCCAGTAACAGATCAAGAGGTAATGGTGACAAGTTGAAATACAAGAAATTCTGTTTAAACATAAGCAGCTGGAACAGGTTGCCCAGAGAGATTGTGGTTTCTACATGGAGATTTTCAAAACCCCACTAGACATGACCCTGAGCAACTTGCTCTGATTGAACCAGCTTTGAGCAGGAGGTTGCACTAAATGATCTCCAACCTCAACAATTCTGTGATTCTAAGAACTTCATTCTAGATGTATGAGAGTTAGCCCAATTGAAAGAAGTGTCAACTCAGCATTATATACATGTAGCTCTGGAAGAGCTACTCAGAAACGTTTTGGCGGTAAAGTTGTTCTTGTTTCTGGCTTTGCAGGAATAAAACGCTTGATTGCTTCCTTCAAAAAAATACTGTTTGTCATACAGAATTAGAACAAGAACAGATTTTAGACACTTTAGGTCAAAATACATATGTGACCTAAAAGAAAAGAAAATTAGAGTGACTTAAGAGCCATCACTGATAATGCCAGTATGCCAGAGTATATTTCTGATCTTTGATCTTACTTGTATAGTTTTTAGTGTTAGCTTTGAGGCAATCTAGTGGTGGGAAAATAAAATCTAAAACTGCTGAACTACTTAGAACTTAAGAGTTCTGTATTTGGTTACTTAAAAAGTAGGAGTAGTTTCAAAAGTTGATGTCAAGATTTGTAGAGTGATATTCCATGCATGCATACATTGATCATGTGCTTCCTAATTATACCTTGATTTTCCTATATTGCGTGTGTCTGAATGTGTTGTTGACTTGAATGTCTGTAAACAGTCTTCTTGAGGCTGTTGCAAATATGGTTAGCTTTTCCTCTTCATTGTAATAATGGGTCTTCATATAATATGGCTTAATTTAAACTGACCATTAACATTAGCTTGAGACTGTCTGGTCATTTCAAGTTGTCCTTCTCCCTTGTCAGTAATACAGAGAGGCTGTTACGTTATACATTCAGATTCCAAAGTTAGGCATGCACAAACTTGGCAAATAAAACCAGTCTATTAAGCAGTATTATAATAAAGAAGAATTTTATGGAATATACCTGTGTATTCAAGTGGTCTGCTAACTTCCAATAATTTTTCCCCCTTTCTCCTCTGCAGAATGTGTATGTAAACATAAACCGCATCATGTCAGTAGCAAATCGCCTGGTCGAGTCTGGCCATTATGCTTCACAGCAAATAAAACAGATTGCTAGTCAGTTGGAGCAAGAATGGAAGGCGTTTGCTGCAGCCTTGGATGAACGTAGCACATTACTGGATATGTCCTCCATCTTCCATCAGAAAGCTGAACAGGTTAGTGAACGGGGTGGGTGCCAACAAAGTTTCCATGCTGGAATGGTGAGTTGTACTGTTTGCTTTTGATTTAGACAGAAGTACAAGGGAGTGATAGAAAAGGTCAGCGAGAAAGCCAGAGCATTCATTTTTGCTAATTTCAGCTGATTTTCAAACAGAACCTTTTTTTCCTCAGGGCAGCCCACTGCCCTTATGTTCTTCACAAAATACCTTGCCCATATCAATGCAAGATAAAACTTATCCAAATTAGATATGTGAATCAGTATGAAGTGGATATAAATGCTTAACTGTATGAAGTTTTTAAGTTGAAAGAAGGAAAAGAAAAAATTAATATAGTCAGTATCAATACAACACCTTTCCTAGATCTAGAAATCATTCCCTTGTTCTGTTGCCCTCACCGCTCCACCCCAATCAGTCCTTGAGTGTCAGGATTTAACTCATAGTGATTGCTTATAGAAAACTAAGCTGAACTGGCCTGAAAGTTGAGAAGTTAATTAACTGTCTCCTGAATCTGAATTGCGGTGGGAGATGTTTACTTTGTTATCCCGTAGGAGATTCCTCCTATATTAAACAAAAATTTTAGCTTTAGGCCTATACCAATTATTTTAATTAAGTCATTAACCATGTGTAACTGCCAGAGAAGAGGTATATGTAGGGGAAATAAGAATAAATATCCCCAAGTTAATAGTCTTGATGATGAAAGCGTGTTTTCCCCTCAAGGGAATTCAGTTTTAAAGGACTTGCTATGCGTGTGCTGTTGAGTCATCCATTGATATTATAGACTGTCTGCTCTGTACATCTCCAGTGAATTTGAAGAGCAGAGGTTCTTGGATGGTTATGGCTGACTGAAGCTCTGATATGTTGTATGACTGCTGTAGATATTTTCTTTCCATTTGCCATCCTAAATTGGATCCTAGAAAAGGTCTCATGTCTGATATAACTTTAATTTGGAATAAATGAAGGAACCACATGGGAGTTGATAACTGCAGAAACAGACAGAAGCAGCACACTTCTAAGATTATTTTTTTTCCTGTTTTCTACTATACAGATATTCAACTTCATAAATGTCCAGAAATTAGAAATGTGAATGTATTAAGATTATGTTAGTGGTGACGTGGGTTTTACTGTCCTTAGGCAGACTAAGGTAAAGTATATAAACTGATGCCACTATAATAAGTATTTTAAGCAGGTTTTACAGAGAAAATAAAACCCAACACATAAAAAGGGGAGGAAGCAATTATTTTCTGCTGTAAGTCTTACCAGCCAGCTTGAAACATTGGATAGTGTGGTACCTTATCAGTATTGATGCTTTTCTAATTGCTTGGGTTATTTAGGCTTGCAGTTAACACTGCCAGCCTTACATGTAGGAGAGGGATGATGAAGCATAAACAGATAGGCATACCCTGACTAAAGTGCTGTCCTTTTTCATAAGAAAATTATGTTAATTGGAAGTCAGGGGAGTCAATTTTGTGTGTGAGTGCTGGGCAACTATGGTAAGGTGTTGCCTTCTTCAGCTTTAAATGTAAGTGTGAACGGCAGGAAAGAGAAGAATGAGAGAAAATAGTGTAGCATCTGCTGGGATTAATTCACTTAGTCTCTTGAATTGCCCCTTCTGCAGTTTTCATTTGATGATTGACTGTGATGGATTGTCATAGTTGCTCTGTAAAATACACGGCTGTGATATATTAGGTGTTTTGTTAATAGTAGAGAGTGAGTTCAAGGGAAGAGGGTTTGGAATGAGAGGAATGACCCTTTTAGAGACTGGTGATTCTTGACCAGTGATTCTTGACATAAAAAGATGATTAAAAAATAAGCAGCCAAAGAAATAACACATCCTTCTTGAATGCACGTGTTTCCTTGCAAGTCACAGGTAAATGATGTTGCCTCCGGTCAGGTACAGTGAAGACTGCACCCAGCTATCAATGCCTGCTGACTGGTGCAAGAAATGCAGCTCTGTGGTCCCACATGGAGCTTCTTTTAATGTTCAGGGCTTAACGTTAGATATTTTTAAAATTGTCCCTTGATGAAATAAGAATTAAATAAGTATCTTAGAATTAAGTACTCTCTCACCCTTCTTCCCAGCTTTCAAACAATAATGGAGTACAAGAAATGATCTGTGGATTACTTTTTCTTCAAAAGACCTGTGTTTCAGGAATTAAGATACGTATGATGAGAGAAATGGCTTGGTCTCTTAAAACTTTTGAGACTTAACTTGGTATGAATAGAGGACAAATTTAGTTTACAGGTACCACATGTGCTTGGCTGTCGTAAGTTTAACAGCTATGAAAACTCCAAGAAAAACAGATTCTTTTTTCCTCTTCCCTTTCCTAGCATAACAAGGGTATAAAATTAATTCCCCCTAGCTGTCAGAAATAGTCAGAACTTCTGCTGTACATACAGCTACGATGGCAGTTTCTTGTCTGTAAAGACAGCTTAAGCTTCAGAGATAACTTAACTTAAATTGTCTGCAGAAGAGATTCTGTTGCAGTATCCTCAGTTTCCCCGGAAAGGCTCGACTTGAGCAGCTATGCTGATACAGCTATGTGCTCCAAGTTCAGTGTTAGTCCTAAGAGACCCTCGCTTAAGTTGTAAATCCCTTACTGCTGTAGTAGCTTGCCAAATGGATTTAGTGCTTCTCTACATGTAGAAATTAGTGCTTTGGGAAGTGAAGTGTGAATTTGCTGTGCTCTAACATTGCTTTGCCTCCTTGATGATCTCTTTCCAGTAAAAGACAGGTCACCATTAATTCTTTGTGAGTGTGTGAATGTGTGCAGGCACATGCAAAGTAACTTGTTTTTCTCTAAAGATTTTTTAAAAGTGAGATGATACTTCACGGTACCATGAGCACCTGCACAGGGAGTTGATGGGTAAGAGCTGAGGGTCTGGACTTGAAAGCTGTAGCATGTTTGGCCTCTTTGTGTAGACAGGACCTTAACTGGCTTTCATGCATCTGAAATGGTAAGGTGTAGGGTGAAGTTAACTTTTTAGCTGCAAAGTCGAGAAAAGGAACAAGAGTAAACTCGAAGCATCAGTATTTCCAACAGTTCAATTGGCTCTGTAGGCTGCTAACATACAATTAAGCCTGCCCGTCTGTGAACAGCTCAAATTGTTCCATATAACTAAAAGCATAAGTATAACAAATATAGAATATTTGTTTCTATGCTGATATAAGCTTCACTTTGGTCAGTTCAGAGAGAAATACAATAAACATTTTTCCCTTAAAAAAAAGTCCTTTCAGTCGCTGTCACACAGATGTCAATCCTTTCGTATATCGTCAGTGTTTGTGTACTTATCGACAGAACCCAAAATTGAGCAGAATGGGGTTTTTTTCTGTTACAGTACATGAGCAATGTGGACTCATGGTGTAAAGCCTGTGGTGAGGTGGAGCTTCCCTCAGAACTGCAAGATTTAGAAGATGCTATCCATCATCATCAAGGGATATATGAGCATATTACCTTGGCTTACTCTGAGGTAAGTGTCTTGTTTATTTCCTTAGATTGCTGGCTTGATAAAATGGTGTAACATTAAAGTTGAGTCATTAACTGACATTGCTTGTTGCATAGTCTATTAGTTGGAAACTCAAGTGCCAGCCTTCTTTTTTTTATTTGGTATACTGGACTTTGCTACTATTGTTCAAAAGTTAAGTTTTAAGTCTTCCTCTTAATCTTCTGAAAGAAATTTAAAAGGCAAGATGGGACCATGTGTGGCACAAACAATCCAAGCAGTGTACGAAGTATGTTTTATTTATATTTGCATATTACAATATTTTAATAGCAGTATGATACTGTCATTTAAACAGTCTCTGAAATGGCCTCACAAAAAAGGATTAACCATCAAAGGAAGTTGGTTGACAAGCCGGAAGTTAAATACTCAGTTCTGCCAACCTCAAAGACACTTAAATGAGCCAGTGTGTCTCTGCACTCAGCATTCGTAAGATTAGTGTATCCTGTGCTACTGCTCTAGTCTCGGATTCTGCATACAACAAAGTATTAGTATTTCTTAGTATTTCAAATAGATGTATTTACATCTTAAGATAAAATACTTATTCTGATCGTGGCCTGGAAAGCCGTGACTAAAGTATCTGTCGTTTGTTGTGGTTTTTTTCTTTGGTTTGTTTTGGGTTTTGGGTTTTTGTTTGTTTGTTTGGGTTTTTTTCCAAATACTGAGATCTCTCATGTGCTTTAGTTAGCTGAAGTGAGAAATCAAATGGGTATCGACTGCACTGTTAGGTAACAGGTATTTTCTGTATTTCCTGTTGAGCTTTTCTTGCTTTCTTTTTCCAGGGTTGTTCTCATCACAGGGTAAAACTGGTTTTGCTGTTATATTGGACTGATGTTAATCTGGATTAAATACAGTATTTTTTATTCTCATTAAAGTTGCATAAAAGTACACGTTTGATTAGGTAACGGTAAAAAAATGATCAGTGAACATAGTAGAGCTTAGGCCACAGCTTGCACCTGCTTTTAAAAGGAGGTCATGTGGGATTGAAATAATGGTTGTGATTTATACATTGCATTAAAGATAAAACTACTTTCTGATGAACCAGCTCTATTTATGGGCAACTGAATCGTAAGTCTGGTCACATTTCATTTAGCAGTAAAGGAGGGTAAGATTAGTGCTGACGATCAGTCCTGTTGTTGGTATATCAAAACTGGATTTTTTGAATACCTGCCATTTTAGGGCCTGCATAAACTTTATTACTATGAGTCAGATGTTCAGAGTTCACATGAACTGTTGTTCTTTTGTGTAAAATACACCCTGTTATCCCCATTCCTGATACAAGCCACCTTGCTTATGGCAACTGATCTAATGAGGTACTGAAGCACATCTCTGGTGATAAAACCTGGTGGTCCTACTACACATACCTGTTCTAACTCACTCTTGAGAGTGTGTTTTTTGGAAAGGTGTTTTTTCTTCGTTATAACCTCTTTATTGGGAGGATCCTGTTGTAAAACAAGGGACAGAGATGTAGCACATTTGTAGTAATTTATCTGAAGAGGGGCAATCCAGGGTGCATGCTCCATGAGAGTGCAGCAAAGAATAAGAAGGCTAGGGCTGTCTGGAATAGTGGTTATAAAGCATTGAAGTTAAAACAGTGAGATTTTTTTGGTTGGTTTTGTTGGTGTTGGATTGGGTTGTTGGGTTGTTTTGTTGTTTTTTTTATCAGGAATGTGACTGGATTAGAGCCTGTTGTTAAGTGTAAATAAGTACTGTGGATTACCATGTTAAATATTACTTGCTTCCCAGTGATGCATAATGAAAACAAATTAGATGGGTAGATTATAGGATTGCTCTGGCAAATACCTTTAAAATTTATTTAGTATTTCAAAGCTGTAGCTTTTGACTTTGGGATGCCTGGAGATTTTAACAAAATCTTCATTGGTACTGCTCAAAAAAAAAAAAAAGATGCCTCTCTTTGGATTTCAGGTCATTGCTTTTCCTCATCTGGTAAAGCAATAGCTTTGTCTTCAGCAACCAGAATTGGTGCAGAAATAATAGTTATAGATGTAAGTACATGTTGTGTTCCTCCTCTGGACAGAAGGTTTTATTTTGCCTTATTTAAACATTCATTCCTTTTTGGATGATTGATGGAGTTGTCATTATGTGTAAAGATATTACAAAACTTTTTCTTATCATTATTAGATGTATGACTTCATTTCTGTTATAACATGGAGCTCCTTTCATTTTGTGATGAATGAACAGTGGGGAGAGAGAGAGAGAGAGGAACACTGGAAATTACAACACTTTGTCATTCGTTTTAGATTACAATGTCTTGACAACATGACTTTGTTGAAGCATAGAAGACAGTAATTTTAAGAGAGTAAATGCTTTTAAGACTAGACAGTCTGACTTTACTGAAGATAATTACTGTATATTACTAGGAAAGTAACTTACTAGCTTACAAGCTTAGATAACTGGTGTGCTTGAAAATCCAGTAGCTATGCCTTAAATGAAGTTATGTATATAAATGAATTTATATATCTCACTAAAATCTTCAAGGTTGTCTTGTACTGGGAAGGAAGAAAACTTTACTGTGTTAACTCCAAAGAGGAAATGTGCATGATAGTTTGTTTGTAAAGCTAATAAAATAATCTGATCAAGAGGGTGCCACAATTAATTATTCCTCCCTTCCCCCCCCCC